TTCCATTGACATCAAAATGGGTTTCTTTTGAAGAAAGTGCTCAAACTGGGACATTCCTCCATTTTTGATTCTCCAGTCCTCCATTTTTGAGTCTCACCCTTGTCTCACACACAAACCAAAATCCTACTAGGAAAGAGGAATCCGCAAATTGCCTGTAAAATGGGCAGAAGTCGTCAATAATAATGGAAATTATTTGGAATGAATTGATGGTTTTATGTTGAATAAATTTTAGTTCAAAGTCCTGCAGTTTTCAATTCACCAACCCAATAAAAGAAAATAATGGGATTTAAAAGTATTAGAATATGATAGCTCAAACTTTGACATATGACAATAGCCCGCAGTTTTCAATTCACCAACCCAATAAGTCTCTCGATTCGAAATATTCAATCATTTCAATTCGGGAAAAGAAAACTTTTCGACTTTTCGATGTTAATCAAAAGAAAAACTTTCGGAGACGACAAAAGCAAAAGAAATGTAAATAAAAATTGAGAAGAAGGAAAATTTAAAATAAAATATACTTTAAAATATAAATAAAACAAAATGAATATTTTTCGAAAACTTTCAGACATCAGGAAGAGAATTTTTGCAAAATTTTCTAAAAGAAAACCTCTAAATCTAAAGAATAGAGACAAAGATTGGAAAAAAGAATAAAAAGAATAAAAAGAATAAAAAGAATAAAAAGAATAAAAAGAATCAAAAGAACAAAGAGAATAAAAAAAAGAACAGTTGTGGGTGGGCAAATAGATCCGAAAATCTTCGGGATTTCTTGAAAAAAACTCCTGAAAAGATTCAGAAGTTTCGCTTTTCACAAACACAAAAAGGTTCTTTGCCCGAGAAAAAACTCTGAAAATCTCTGAAATATCTCTGAAATATCTCTGAAATTTCAATCTCCTCTAATGAAAAGAATTTCGTTTGTCTGGTTTTTGGGGCAAAAAAAATGAAATGAAATTGAAATTGAAAAATCCCGATAAATAGAGAATCCGTTAGTTGGGGTAAATTCGATTTTTTTTTCAAAGCTGGTTTCATTTTTGGGTAAACAATTGATGGGTAAACATGCATTTAGTGATGTTTTTCAGTACGTTTTTTTATAGAAAAAATGGATACTTTAAATAACTATCGTATCGTGAAACATAACTACCGTAAAAACTCTAATAGAAGCCGCCAATAGGAGCGTCGGATAGTCTAAGTTTACACTCAAACAAACGCTCAGATCTTAGCACCTGTTCGTTTGTTTCTATGCGTTTAGGTATCAAATTAAAGTAGAGAGAATGGGTGATATTTTGAGATATAACACATATCATTAACATTAACCAGCGCTTAGAAAACATGATTGAAAAGTGGCAAAAAGAGCCGATTTTTCATCAACTTCAAATCAACATCTCAAACAAACGCTCATATCTCGACATCAATACTTTTGTTTCTGTGCGTTTGGGTATCAAATGAAAGTAGGGGAAATGGCTGATATTTTGAGATATAACATTTATTTTTAACATTAACCAGCACTTAGAAAAACATGATTGAAAAATGATGAAAAATCAGCTTTTTTGCCACTTTTCAATCATTTTGTTTTAGGCACTAGTTAATGCTAATGATATGTGTTATATCTCAAAATATCACCCATTTTCTCTATTTTAATTTGATACCTAAACGCACAGAAACAAAAGTATTGATGTCAAGATCTGGGCATTTGTTTGAGAGTAAACTTAAACTCTGCGACGCTTCCATAGGAGCCGTTCTTTTAGAGTATTTACGGTAGTGCTGTGTTTTTGAAGTGAAGGAACTGGGAACGTATTCTTAGGTATAACTACTTCAAAGTCACAGGAAAATGAAAATTGAATTGCAAAGGATCCTTTGAGACAAAAAAAAGTGGTTCATTGAGAATTTCTTGACGTAAAGACTCTAGTTTTTCTTCAGAAAATCCCCATTGCGATTTTCATTCGAATTTGAAGTGGAACGTTCTCATATTTCCAACATTAAGCGCTTAAAATTGGAAAAAAGAAATTTCTGAGAAGCGAATTCTAAATGTTTACAAAAGTTTGAAGAAAAGGAAACATCTGGATAAATAGAAAAGAGAAAATGTGTGTGTGAAAATCTGGAGGAGATGAGTCCGATTGAGTTTTGAGGGAAAAAAATGCAAAAAATCCAGTGATACGACTCTGTTTCACGATTTGTGAAGAGAAAAGATGTAAAAGAAAGTATGCAAATTCATTTCACTAATCAAAACCACGTCTACTATTGTATAGACGAAAGTTCTAGGTTCTAGACTAAAGACTAAGACTAAGACTTCTAGACTAAAGACTAAGACTAATAAATCTAAAGGTTTTCAATTTTTTGCAATACAAATTATACTTCTGAAAATGGTTTCCCTTTAATTTACCGCTGATGAATTAATATGAAAGTAAGGTTAAGACAAGAAAAGACAAGAGAAGACAAGAAAAGACAAGAGAAGACAAAGAAGACAAGAAAAGACAAGACAAGGCAAAACAAGACTAAGACAAGACTAAAACAAGACTTAAGAAAATGTAAAGAAAAGACAAAGGTGACTGGATCGAAGATGGGTAAAGGGTCCAAGAGAAGGACACAACAACACAATAGAAAGCGACCGTCAACCCTTTTCTCGAGAATTGACAAAAGACAATGAGTGGATAGGAAAGCAGAAAAGGAGTGAAAAGAAAAGGTGAACATGAAGAGTCAAGTGACAAGAAGAATTTCTGGAAGTTAAGGCTTTGATGCACTTGATTCGGCCTCTATTAACGATCTAGATTGTTCCGAACAGAGAAAAGCCATTGCTGGCAAAGTAAGGTAAGGCTAGACCAGGTCAAAAGTCAGATCAAATCAATATTTGCTCTGGTCAAGCTTTGTATCAGAAATAGGGACTAGGTAGGCAAGGCCAGGCTAGTAGACTTGATATCCGATGGGTCGAATTAGAGCGAATAAATCGGATTAGAGCGAATCGGATTGCCTCGGGTGATGAGCCGATTTAATGACCTCATTCATTGGATTGAATCCGATCCGATCCGATAAAAATTAAGGCATAAGGCTCCACTCTGGGGCCTTATGCCTTAGGCCACCCAACGGGATACGTGTCGGCGTAGCTCATTGGTAGAGCGTTTGCCCGGTAAGCGATTCGAAGCCGCGATCTCAACGGGTTCGAATCCCGGTGCCGGTCACGTATTTTATTCCCAGCCCAAACCTATAAAAGGATCTCTATCCAACTAAAAGCCTCTATTGGATTGAATCTATCGGCTCGGCTCGGCTCGATTCGATTCGATTCGATTCGATCCAATCCCATCCAATCCGATCCAACAGAATTTCGCTCCAATAGCAAGTCTACAAACCAGTCTACAAACCAGTCTACAAACCAGTCTACAAACCAGTCTACAAGCCAGTCTACAAGCCGCACAAGCCAGTCTACAAGCCAGTCTACAAACCAGTCTACAAGCCAGTCTACAAGCCAGTCTACAAGCCAGTCTACAGTCTACAAGCCAAGTTCTTAAGCTTTTAACTGACGTAGAGCTTCTTCAAGCCAATTTTTCTTGGCTAAAAACTAAACTAGGCTATTTTGCATTTACCGTTTCCCAAAATAAACCATCCAAAGATTTGTTTTGCTTGTCGAAATTCGAAATTTGCATGTCAAGTGATGCGTTTTTCTTTTGAAAAGAGAGATTTTCTTTACAAGATCCAATAATGTCAAGGTCTTTTTCTTTTCATTTCTCGATTTCTCTCTCTCTTGTACTTTATAAATACAGTTATTTCAGCTACCTTGACACTGTAAAAGTGAAGTTTTGTAAAGTTTTTGTTAAACAATAAGCTAATCTTTAATCAAAAAGCTTATGAATTAAGCTTTTTGTTCATTTTATATCTAATGAATCGATAGACTAAAGGAGAAAATCCAAAAATATTCAATTCTTCTCCACTGATCTCACAAATCAACTGAAGATATGTGAAGAAATTGCGCGCATTAGAAAGGGTGCTTTGACAAACAGCACAAAGCACAGCAAGTAAACAATGTGGGAGAATAGGGAAGCAAATTTAGAGAGATAAGGAACCAAATTTAGAGAGATAGGGAACCGAATTTAGAGATAAGGAACCAAATTTAGAGAGATAAGGAGCCGAATTTAAAGAGATAGGGAACCAAATTTAGAGAGGTAAGGAGCCGAATTTAGAGAGATAAGGAACCAAATTTAGAGAGAAAGGGAACCAAATTTAAAGAGATAGGGAACCAAATTTAGAGAGATAAGGAACCAAATTTAGAGAGGTAAGGAGCCGAATTTAGAGAGATAGGGAACCGAATTTAGAGAGATAAGGAACCAAATTTAGAGAGATAGAGAACCGAATTTAGAGATAAGGAACCAAATTTAGAGAGATAGGGAACCAAATTTAGAGAGATAAGGAACCAAATTCAAAGAGATAGGGAGCCAGATTTCAAGAAATAGGGAACCAGATTTAAATTTAATTTTCAAAGAAGTAACTCAAAGATCAAAAGATTCAAAGAAGTAACTCAAAGATCAATTAAACCAGAGAAAATCGGAATTCTTCAAATTTTAATTAAAATCACGAAAAGAAAGAAAGAAAGTTAAGGGAAAAACGAGCGGAATTGAAAGAAATTGAAATAAAGCAAAGAAAATGAAAGAAATCAAAGAAATTCGTGGCAGGAAATGACAAAAGAGAAGAAGTTTTCAGAGAAAAGAAAAATTTTTGGGTGTCTGAAAACATTTTAAAAGTAAAACAGATAAAAAACATAAAAAATTCAAAAAATCTAATGTTTTTTGAATTCAATATTGATACCATTTTCCCAAAATGACCAGCTTTTTGATAGTTTAATTTTATAAAACAAAGCTATTCACCTAATAAAATCTGAATTTCATAAAACAAAGCTATTCACGGGAGCGTTTTCTAAAGGATGCCCTTTGAAGCTACCGTAAGCGAATTTTTCAACCAAAATGCAACCAAAATGTTAACCAGCTTTTACGGTAGCTTTTTCCTAGACACACTTTTTAGAAAACACTAGAACCCAGTCTGATTAGAAGCCACATATTTAACCAACCTTCCATATGGGGACCAGCCGGAATGCCATTCGTCAACCCCTCGGCGTTCATCGTTGGACGATGCTGAAAGGTATATAAATATTATAAAACTAATACATAACAGTGGCAACGGCACCCTTCTACAGTAACCTACAGTCGCTACAGTAACTCCTATTTCCGCTACAGTACCCCATACGGTCTCCAGTAACCTCTATGGCAACTTTAATAACTTCTCCAGAGTCGCTACAGTAACCCCAGCCTTTACAGTAACTCCTATTTCCGCTACAGTACCCCATACGGTCTCCAGTAACCTCTATGGCAACTTTAATAACTTCTCCAGAGTCGCTACAGCAACCTAGAGTCGCTACAGTAACTCTTATGCCCACTACAGTACCCCATATGGTCTACAGCACCCCATATGGTCTCCAGTAACCTCTATGACAGCTTTAATAACTTCTCCAGAGTCGCTACAGTAACCCCAGCCTTTACAGTAACTCCTATTTCCACTACAGTACCCCATACGGTCTCCAGTAACCTCTATGACAGCTTTAATAACTTCTCCAGAGTCGCTACAGTAACCCCAGCCTTTACAGTAACTCTTATGTCCACTACAGTACCCCGGTCCCAGTAACCTCTATGACAGCTTTAATACTCTCCAGAGTCGCTACAGTAACCCCAGCCTTTACAGTAACTCCTATGTCCGCCACAGTACCCCACACGGTCTACAGTAACCCTTGTGGCAGTTACAGTAATCTCCACAGTCCTTTTGCCTCATAACTTTACATGAATATTACATTTTGAGTTAATTTTGGTATCATTTGATGCGTTATTTTATTCTGCATTGAATGATAGTCAAAATCAAAGGGTTGGTGCTGAGAAAAACATGAAAAACCTTAAATTACCAACGGCAAAAGAGGATCGAGAGAGGTTTTCGTTAAAAGTCTACTACAAACGCTTCTAATTTGCTTTAAATCTACTGGATTGTGATGATCTATAGCTCAAAAGATAGAGAATCTCAAGAGCTTTCGAATGAACTAAAGCCGACTGAAAAATATCAATGCTAAAGAAAGCTATAGTGGTTTGTAGTCTGACTACGCGCGAGTACGGTCCATCAAATCATATATCCATATATTAGAGAGCATAAAGAAGTCGAAATCATGTACTTATCTAGATTTTATCTTACAAATAGAATCAATAACGAGCACAAGATAAGGTAAAGTACTAAAAAGTGTGATCACGTGAATAAACACTCTTTGTCACTAATTTTTCTCGAGCCAACTGCCATTTGTACTTGTGTCTTTTTGCAGCAACAAGTTGCAACAACAACACCTGAGCTATTCAATCCGATCAAAAATAATTCGATAAAAACTAGAGACAAGATTACAGTAACCTCCACAGTCGCTACAGTCGCCTCCACAGCCGCTACAGTAACCCCTATTACCGCTATCGCTACAGCTAGCTACCCCGTACGGCCTACAGTAACCTCTACAACAGCTACAATAGCTCATCCCGTCGCTTAAGTACCCTTGTAGCCTCCTACAGTATCGCTGAACTGCTACAGTACTGTTTCCGGTGACTACAGTACCCTATGCTAGTTGCAGTAATGTTACTTCGATTGGATTTTATTGCAAAACTCGTTTCATTTTCATTTCAAACTCAAACCGTTTGTTGTGCGGGCGCGCTGCCACTTCGATTCGTCATGAACTCAACGTCGTGTAAACGGGGTCGATTGTCGCCTTTCTGAAAATGTTCAAAGAGTTAGATCTGGAACTCACTCTGGCCTTGGCTGGCAACAAGTCAAATTCCCTAGTTACTTTTCACTTTTTCTTAAAAAATTACTAAAGCATAACTACCGTAAAAACTCTAATAGAAGCCACCTATAGGAGCGTCGCTTTGTCTAAGTTTACTCCCAAACAAACGCTCATATCTCGACATCAATACGTTTGTTTCTATGCGTTTAGGTATCAAACTTAAAGTAGAGAAAATGGGTGATATTTTGAGATATAACACATATCATTAGCATTAACCAGCACTTAGAAAACATGATTGAAAAGTGGCAAAAAGAGCCGATTTTTCATCAACCTAAAATCAACATCTCAAACAAACGCTCATATCTTGACATCAATACTTTTGTTTCTGTGCGTTTAGGTATCAAATTAAAGTAGAGAAAATGGGTGATATTTTGAGATATAACACGTATCTTTAGCATTAACCAGCACTTAGAAAAACATGATTGAAAAATGATGAAAAATCAGCTTTTTTGCCACTTTTCAATCATTTTGTTTTAGGCACTAGTTAATGCTAATGATATGTGTTATATCTCAAAATATCACCCATTTTCTCTATTTTAATTTGATACCTAAACGCATAAAAACAAACGTATTGATGTCGAGATATGAGTGTTTGTTTGAGATGTTGAATTGAGGTTGATGAAAAATCGGCCCTTTTTGCCACTTTTCAATCATGTTTTTCTAAGCGCTGGTTAATGCTAAAAATACGTGTTATATCTCAAAATATCACCCATTTTCTCTATTTTAATTTGATACCTAAACGCACAGAAACAAAAGTATTGATGTCAAGATATGAGCGTTTGTTCGAGAGTAAACTTAGACAATGCCGCGCTCCTATAGGAGCCGTTCTTTTAGAGTTTTTACAGTATGTAGACCTTAATAATTTTTTAGCAAAAAATGAAAGGTAACTGAATTTTCTCGGCATGAAGGCATGAATTTTACTAGTTTCCGCCCTAGCTTAAGCTTAGATGCTCTGGCCCAGAGCATCCAGGCGTGCTTTGTGCACTCCTCTTTTCTCCTCTCCAAAAGCGATGACGTGAAAAGAGTTTGTGCGCCAGAAAGGGTGTGTTTTACATTCGAAAACATTAAGAGCACGCATTAAACGCTTAAAATTCCACCAAAAAACCAACCCTTTTATTCTTTCTTTCGCTGAAGAAAAGATTCTGCAATATCGACGTTGTCCCTTTCTGTGAAAGTTCTTTTTCTCTTTTTTTCGCCACTCGACTCTCACCAGGCCTAAAATATGCAAATTTTTCAATTTTTAAACAACAACAACAACAAACAACTTTAAAAGAAAGGAAAATTTTGAAATTCAGCTAAATATCAGAATTTTCCCTTCTTTTAGAGCGTTTTTTTTTTTGAGATAAGCGATTAATAAGATTAATAAGCGGTAATCAAGAAGCCACACTTATTTCGTGAAAAGTTTAGGTCAAGAAACGAAAAAGGGGCAAAGAATTCTACGAGGATTCGAAAAAGCAAAAAAAACATCTTTAAGTGAATCGAACCACGGTGGTTAAACTGGGAAACTAAGCTTACCAATAGGACTATTGCTTTGAAGCTTTCTTTGAGCTTTGAAGAGTGTGCCAGAAGGTTTTCGTTTGGCTCAACGTACTTTGCGCTTAGCAAAATTCTTGCTTTTCTGGCACAAAATACCCAAAAGATCTCTTAAAATGAGAATTTGTACCAAAAAAAAGTACCGTAAATGCTATAATAGTGCCCCAGCTCCATAAAGATCATGCGGAGCGTTGCGTAGTCTAGCTTTGAACGAGTTTTTCTCGACACTGGTTTATGCTACAATGCTCATTTAGGTATCAAAAAATAGCTGAGATTCAGGGCTATTTTTTAATACCTAAACGATACCTGTAGCTTAAACCAGTGTCGAGAAACACTCGTTCAAAGCTAGACGACGCAGTCTAGCTAGTCTAGCTCTGCGTAGTCTAGCTTTGAACAAGTTTTTCTCGACACTGGTTGATGCTACAGGTATCATTTAGGTATCAAAAAATAGCTGAGATTCAGGGCTATTTTTTGATACCAAAGCCAGCATTGTAGCATCAACCAGTATCGAGAAAAACTCGTTCAAAGCTAGACTACGCAACGCTCCGCTTTGCACGAGTTTTTCTCGACACTGGTTTATGCTACAATGCTGGCTTTGGTATCAAAAATAGCCCTGAATTTCAGCTATTTTTTGATACCAAAGACGCATTTTTTGAAAATACGGGCGCTTTGAAAAAAAATGAAATACTAAATACTAAAAAACTTTTGCGGCTACGCGACTGTACGAGGGCGGTGGGTACTATTACAGTATTTACGGTAAGTGTTTATGAGAGCACAAAGTACAAAAGGATTTAGCCTTGCATGGTCTATTGGTAAAGCTCTTGTTTCCAAAAAAAAAAAAAAAAAAAAACCCAACCCAACTTTCAATTCCGAAGTCAAAATTTTGATTCAGAATTCATTTTTAGAATTCATTTTCAGAATTTCCGAATACCTATAGAATTCTTCACAGAGTATTACACAAAAGTTTAGCAAAAAAAAGCGAAGAAGAGCGAATTTTTGTCGGCCAAAAGATTCGAAATGTAGTTGAAAAAGATTTAGATGTGAAAATCTCGATTTCCTGAAAAGTTTCAGGATTTTTGTGAATTTTCAGGAGAAAATTTGTCTTTTACAGATCTTTTTTGTCTTTTAAGATCTTTTTTGTCTTTTTTTCAGGTCAAGAGAGTTAATTTTTGAGAGAAAAAGGGGGGGGGGGAATAGGCAAAAAAAAAGCCGGCTTTTCTTTGTGCTCTCACAAACGTACACTTTCTAGCGCACACACACTAGATTTTTCGTTTTCCTCCCAAAATTACGTCCAAATGACCAAGGAAAAAGCAATGATCAGTGTGCCAGAGAGCGCGCGTTTCCGCGAAGAGCATAAAGTAGGCGTCTAGAGGCGTCTAGAGAATGAGTATGCTTTAAAAAAGTATCCAGTTACATTCTAAATATATTTCTACATTCTAAATCCTTTAATTCACCGCCCAGCAATGATCAGTGTGCCAGAGAGCGCGCGTTTCCGTGAAGAGCACAAAGTAGGCGTCTAGAGAACGGGCATGGTTTCAAAAAAATATTCAGTTACATTCTAAATATATTTCTACCTTCTAAATATTTCAAGTTATCTAGTTTTAATAGTTCTAATAGTTCTAATAGTTCTAATAGTTCTAATAGTTCTAATAGTTCTAATAGTTCTAATAGTTCTAATAGTTCTAATAGTTCTAATAGTTCTAATAGTTCTAATAGTTCTAATAGTTCTAATAGTTCTAATAGTTCTAGATAATATTTGTTATTTTAAAAACAACAAAACAACGCGAAAAACAAAGCGATAGAAAGGGTGAGAGAGACGGAAAACGAAAGAAATTCAGTGAAAAAAGCGAAAGGAGTCAAAAAAAAAAAATTCTAGAATTTCTGAGAAAAAAGACAAGAGAAAGCCTTAAAATTAACAAAATTAAAGACTTTTCAAATTCACAAACTTTACAATAATTCTAGTTTGAATAGCTCAAATCTCTTGTCTCTTTTATCTCAACCAATATATACGGACCATGAGAGATTGGGCGGAGGGGAGAGCTCGCGAACCAGAGTTTCGCTGAATATTTCACCGATTTCAGAGAGAAAAATAGAAAAATTTCATACAAAAATCGATTATTTCGTTAACTAAGCAGTACTTGCATGCACTAGAAAGCTTTTTTAAAGCGCTTCGTTGTCAAAAGAATCTTTTCCTGAGTACTCATTGTTAGTTCGTCAACTAATTCATTTAAAGCTATCTTATGAAAAAGTATTCAAGGTATTCAAGGTATTCAGTCTAGATTAGAGTATTCAGTCTAGACTGTCTGGATTAAGGTATTCAATCTAGAATGGGATATTCAGTCTAGAATAGCTAGATTACGGTATTTAGTCTAGATTAGAGTATTCAGTCTAGATTAGAGTAATGTCTAAAAAGCACCCAGATATCGTATCGTATCGTATCGTAAAAGTATTGCAATCCTTAGTCGGAAGCTATCGGAGCTAGGAATCTTACTTAAAAGCATAAACCTACCGTAACCAAAATAAACTTATAGTAGTGCTAATGAGCTAATCGTAAGAGCTATCGTAATCCAGATAGCAAATGGCTAAAGGCAAATGGCTAAGCCTCAAAGCTACCGTAACCAAAATGTCGCTAAAAGTCACCGTCATTCCCAACTACCGTACTCTAAATCGGGTTGATGACTAAAGACCACCCGACATTATTGTAATCCAGATTTAAAGGCTAAGGGCAACCTAAGCCTAAAAGGCATTCAAAGTTCCGGTAACGGCTGCTAAAACTACTCAATTGCATTAGTCTAAAAGGCACTTAAAGCTACCGTAACGGCTGCTAAAAGTACTTAATTGTCGTTAAGCTAAGGCACTCAAAGTTACCGTATCCTTTCGATAAGTAGTCTTTGATTCAATAGTCTACATGTACTTAATTAGCTACGCGTACTTAATTAGCTACGCGTACTTAAGTAGCTACGCGTACTTAAGTAGCTACGCGTACTTAATTAGCTACGCGTACTTAAGTAGCTACGCGTACTTAATTAGCTACGCGTACTTAATTAGCTACGCGTACTTAAGTAGCTACGCGTACTTAAGTAGCTACGCGTACTTAATTAGCTACGCGTACTTAAGTAGCTACGCGTACTTAATTAGCTACGCGTACTTAATTAGCTACGCGTACTTAATTAGCTACGCGTACTTAATTAGCTACGCGTACTTAAGTAGCTACGCGTACTTAATTAGCTACGCGTACTTAATTAGCTACGCGTACTTAAGTAGCTACGCGTACTTAATTAGCTACGCTTTACTAAACAAAATATTTCCCCTATCAAGCTGTGCCAGTGTTCTCCTACAGGCATGCAGTGAAATCTCTCTCACACACTCACCTCGCCTTAAATCGAATCGACTCATCTCTCTGTAAACCCTTCTTTCTCAACGTGACTGAAGTGGAGAAAGTTCTTTGCAAGCCGATCTTCTCCTCATCTTCCTCAACTTCGATCACCGATTCTCGTCTCGTTTGTGCGAGTGTGTCGCCCGTTATTTTCCCCTTTTCATTCGAATTCCCGCGAATAAATCTCAACGATCTTCTCATCACGGAAACGACTCCATTCGAAGAAACGGATCTCATCAAAGGATTCGATGTGAACGATCTTCTCGTCATCGGCGTCTCCAAAGGATTTCTTTCCAATGACGTCACTCCGAATCCCGATGTTGTACTTGTTGAGCTCGCTGATCCATTTGGTCTCAGCCTCACCTCGTCATCATCCCATAAATCGTCCTCTTCACGTATCGTCAAGCTAAACCAAACCCTGTCAACAAGGCCAAGCAAAGAAAATGAGTTTGAAAACGAGATGGATTTGAGAGATTCCTAATGGGCTTTTGCTAAAACTGAAAGATATTCAGTCTTGACGTTTCGCGAGTCACTACTGCTATGCGAGTCACTGCTACGAGTCACTACGAGTCACTACTGCTACGAGTCACTACGAGTCACTAATCACTACTGCTACGCGAGTCACTACATCACTACTGCTACGAGTCACTACTCACTACTGCTACGAGTCACTACTCACTACTGCTACGAGTCACTACTCACTACTGCTACGCGAGTCACTACTGCTTGTCTACGGATCGAATTTTGTAGTGTGAAATCAAAAAATGTCTTTATAAAAAATAAAAATTCAAGTTTTTCAAGTGGAGGATTCGAACTCACCACAAAAAAAACCCCTCGAATTGTTCCGTAAACAAGCACACTATCCGCTACACCACGGTGGTCATGGTGTAGCGAAAAGCTGAGAAAAGCGAGCTGAGTTGACGCGTTCGAAAAGAACGCGTCAACTCAGCTCAAGAGTGTATAACAAAAAGAAATCTCGTCTTTGCGTTTGATGCGAGAAATCTCGCATTTTCGATGTATTTCGCAGATTTTGATTACAAATTCGGATTCGCGCTTTGATTTTCTATCGGATGGGCTAAATTTCGTTTCGAAATCCTTTTCGAAATTAGTACTTTTCCCAAAATCAAGCAATCAACTCTCAAACACCACCTCGAAAGTGAAAATGGAAACAATCTGTATCTAAACTTGATAGACCAATGGGTACTTTGTGCTCACACGAACGCATGCCTTTTGGTCCTTTCCTTTTCACCAAAAATGACTCGAGTATGCCAGAGAACGAGCGTTTACAGTGGAAAGCACAAAGTACGGTCAGGCTACAGGGAAATGCGCTTCAAAATCTCGATATCACATGCAAATTTTCGGGACCTTATATCAAAAAGCTATAAAGATAGAGCAAAAATGATTAATGAAGAAAAATAAGCTGAACTGGACGATACCTGAGAACAAAACGACGGGACAACGCAAGAAAAAGGCTATTTGGCTGACTATTTAGAGAACTATTTAGAGAAAAATGAGAAAAAAATAATAATAAAAGACATGGAGTTAGAAAAAGAATCGAAAGAAAAATGAGAGAAATTTTAAAAATTTTTGCTTTGAGAAAAACGATATCAACAAGGCTTTTAGTCTACTTTGGGCTCGAAAATGTAAACGCAACCCATCTGGTGCACTGCATTCTCCGTTTTTCTCGTAACATCAACTGTTTTCGAGCAGAAAATGAGGAATTCAGTGCCTTAAAAAGGTGCATTTAGAGGAAAGCACAAAGTACAAGGGTTTAGCTAGCATGTACTGTAGTCGTTTTCTAATAGATGCATAAAGCTACCGTAATCCCAGCGTGGATTTTAGATAAAGCTACCGTAATCTCAGCCTAACACTCAAAGATTTCTAAAACCCGTATCAGTTCAGATCAAGCTACTGTAACTTTCTGGTATGAAGTCATCGGAATTTGTTAAAACGTAAAGCTACCGTACTTTAGCCTCAAAAAGGATCAATCAATTTAACCGGCTACGGCTTTTACAACTAAGACACCTTTTCGAAAACGGTTTAATCAAGAGCAAGACAAGAATTCTGATGGCTTTCAAACTAAATCTTGATATCATTTTTCTCCGAGCCTAAATATCTATTGTGTACAAACCGATTCGCGTTCACATCAACCGAATTCGACGAAATGTGTGATGGAGTCGGGGGTGGGGTGCCCGATTGAGGCGAGACCTAGAATAAATCAAATAATAATAATACTTTATTCAAACGATAAAGTGAAAGAAATCATAGAGAAATGCACAGTGATACTTAATCATACAATACATACTGAAATCAATAAGCCAATTACTTACGGCAAAGAGCCACTAGATCTAAAGCATCGATACGTTTTGTATTATTAGATTGGTGCATAGTTTTAGTTTTTAGTCATTAGTTTTAAATATTATTAGATTGGTGCATAAGTCTTTTCCAAATTCTTTCCAAATTTTTGTTTCCATAGAAAAAAAATTCTTTATTAAATTTGCTGCGTTCTAAGCTATCAAAAAAAAGTCTATCATTTCTCTACAAAATGGTTTTTGAGAGTAAGCTTAAGCTTATTAGCTTAGGCTCGCCTCAACTCGATAAAAAACCATTTTTTGTATGTAAAATTTCAATTGCTGTTTTAAAGAAAATCGCTGAACGGATCGCTGAACGGTTTTCAAATTTTACAGCCTTATGCAATCAAATAAGCTCTATCTTTTTTACTTTTGCACAAAAATCGGTTTTTTATTGAAGAAAGTGTCCAAATTACGACTTCGACATTGGAGCAGTTTTGGGTGCTCATCTTTGCGCCCTCGAAAATCCACAAAAACAACTATTTTCAAGAATTTCCCAAAAGCCATTTTGCAGAGAAATAATTAACCTTTTTAACAATGCAAATAGAAATTTTGTTGGTGGTGGCATTATTTTTAAAAGACGTTTGGAAAAAAAAACTTGTAAAGACTTGCACCAACCTAATAGATAATTTAAAAATTGCTCAATGTCAGTGTCAGTTATTTCGAATCAATTGCTTTTTTAAATTGACCAAACTCACCTCTCTCAATCTCGCATTCATTTCGGCCATTGTCGTGTTGATGAACTGAAAAAGTGAGAGATTCTTTTGGATTTTAAAAAAAACCACAAAACACAGTACAACCACTAAGACGATAATTGCTTACTTAAAGAATTGAGACTTCGATGACCTGGATAATTTGAATAATTTTATCTACATAGCTTGTTTAGGTGTTCTTTGGTTTACATCACGCAAACACAGTCTGTCTGGCGCACTGCGTTATTTAGTTTTTTCAGTGGAACAATCTAGAAAAGGCGAATTGCGCCAGTTGACGTGATTTTACGAGTGAGCACAAAGCACACCGCAGCGACAAGCCTAGATTACTCTGCTGTAGATTTCATTTAACACATTCTCGATGACAGTATTTTCGGCGTACAACTAGGGTAGTTGTTAACTGTTTTACTGATAATTTAGTGAAAATTCAAAGATAAGCTAAGCTATTCGATAGCCCTGAATCCCCTCTTGAAAACTAGTACAAAGTTACCGAGAACTTTCGGCGAAATAGATAACAAAAATCTTTAAAAACTTGCGTTGACACACTAAACATAATCGTTATTAGTACGGCCCGTATCATCGTGAATGTATTAAGCCTTTAAATTTAGTGCTAACCGTATGCGATGAAGTGGACACTGAGGACATGTAGTTTTTCCACGATGATCCGTTCGCTTTTCGCATGATTCGCACGGGTGGTGGCTGTTCTTGGGGTTCTGAAAGTGAAAAATAAGTCATGAAAACGAAATTATCTACTTTTTTATGAAGTTATTACCCAAAACACCCTGGTTTACCTATAATATTGTTTTATCAGATAGTTCAAGATGATGTGGGTGATTGCTAAAACGCTAAAACTATAACTTAAACATAAAGGGTGGCTAATAAGTATTGTCGCGTGCTTAAATGCGTGCTACTCCTCGAGATTTTTGCTAAATTTCATGAGTAACATACCAAAATGTTGCTAAGAGTCTAGGGAATCTAAATAAATTTTTAAAACAATGACTATGAAAGATTTTATTGCGATTCCTATGCTTTTCAAAAAAGCCACTTTGCTCAAGGTTAATTCTAAGCTTCTCATATAAGTAGAATTCTTATAATATAGCTTCAAACTACCTCCAGTTCGCCTTTCTTGCGCTTTTTCATTCAACGCCGGATCGGAGTTGCTTTGTGTCCTTTCCAATTTCTCAATAATCATCGCATCCTCAGAAGTGGAAGCTTGGAGAAGGGGATTGTGACTGCTTCTCTGTAAAAAAAATATCGATAGATGCGGAAAGAATATCAATAGACGCGGATAAAAATATAGGCATTAGGCTGTCCAGAAAATCTTTTCGTTCTTTTTCGTACTTTCGCTTAAAACCAACAAATGCACCAATTGAACTGCGGTTTTTTTCATTAGAAAGGCCATTCCATTCCATTATTTTTCTTCAAAATAACATCAAAACGGGTTTAAAATGTCTTATGTTTGGTTTTTTTTGAGAGCGTGAAGTCAGGTAGTCAAAGATCGGCTCGATTTAGCCACTTTAGCTAAGGAAACCTATCTTGGTGTCACCAGATAAAAGATAGAGCACAAAATGTTGGGCATATAGGCAAATTTAGAGTGAAATTCATTCAGCCAATTTCAGGTTTTTATCGATTTTTACGAAAAAGCACGTTTTCACTCTGAATTTACTTGTAAGTAAACCGAAATTGACTTAAAAAGATGGGAAATTGAACAATAAACACTTTTTATTTGGAAGAAACTATAGGTTAATTGGTGAATTTGTTATTTTTCAACGGAAGTATGAAAAGAAACGAAAAGACTTTCTGAAGATTAATCTTATCAAGATCAAGATCAAACTTATCAAGATCAGATCAGAAACTTGTCTAGTTAGGAACCATTTAACCTTACCCAATACCTTTTAACTCACCAATCCTTTTTCTAAAAAGAAAAAGGATTGGTTCTTTTTCTAATTAGACACCGAACCCAAGAAGAAAAGCCCCAATAAGATCGCGCAGATTTGATTTGATAGATTTCGTGTTTTAGTTGAAAGAGAATTGGTTAAGCTAAGTTTATGCAGCACGTAAAAAAAGATTCGAAGGCAATGGAGTAGAAGGGAGCCGAGAGAAACGAAACAAAACCATTTTAGAAATTTAAACAAGAAACATGGTCGGAATATTATAACGAACAATGCAACAAATACGACGAGAAGGGAATGTGGGGAGCAGGTAACCAAAAAACGCGCTACAAAGAGGATAGCTTTTACAGAATGGGGCGGCAGAAGAAAACGGTACAAAAAACCGAACAACATTCACGACTTCACCCTGGATTCGGAAAATGAAAAGAATGGCAAAAGGAAATTTTTGTGCGGGGTACGGTAGCGCATCCAGGCTCTAGAAAACGCCCGCTCCGTTTTAGCGTTAGTTCCTTAAACGTCAATAGGAATCTAACTACCACTTTCTCATCTATTTCACTTTCAGTTCAAAGGCAAGATCAATTGGAAACTTGTCTTGGAAAAGTTCTGAGCCATGAAATTTCACTCACTTGACTGCTCACTCGTCTGGCCACTGCTGACGTCGGTTTTGGACGAGGCCGGACATCCTGTGAATTCAGAATTGAAAGTTTATGCCCAACTTTTCCCACCGATATCTTCGATTCATCAAATTCCGGATTTCTTTCCAATTCATGGCCACAATGATCGGAGATTGCTCGTCTAAAAATTATCGGACATTTGATATTTTGCCATTAGCAATCTAACTTTGAGCTTAAATTTCTTGGTGTTGGGGTGTTCAATTCAAATATTTTGATATCATTAGATGCGCCAAATCTTTCTCTGTCGATTGGTACAAAAATTATTTAAATTGGACAGCTCAGCGCCAGGAAATTTGAGCTCAAAGTTAGATTGCCAATGGCAAAGGGGGCGGGTCACCTTTTATACGCGTCGCGCCCCTTTTGCCGGGTATAAAAGGCGCCCCGCCCCTTTTGCCGGGTATAAAAGGCGACCCGCTCCTTTGCCATTAGCCATCAAACTTTAAGCTCAAATATCTCGGTGTTGGGGTGTCCAATTTAAATAATTTTTGTACCAATCAAGAGAGAAAGATTTGGCGCATCTAATAATATTAAAAATATTTTAATCGAACACCCCAACACCGAGATATTTGAGCTTAAAGTTAAATTTCCAATAGCAAAAGGGGCGGGGCGCGTATCAAATGTCGTAAGCTTAAGCAGAAGCCTCCGAAAGGGAAAGTTCATTCCTCCAAAGCTTCACTTACCGATGATGAGAGTTTGGCTGAAAAAGAGGCGATCGATGCGATTCATTCGAGGAATCTATTGAAGGCTCTCTAAAAAATGGGAATTGGTACAGTAATCCATCTATATTCGTGCGTTCTTTGTTCTTCTTTTCTTTCTATCACACTGTTCTTCATTTTCTTGAAACAATTACCATAAAAATCAGGAATTAAGTGCACCAGAAAGGGTGCATTTCCATGTTTAAGTACAAAGTAGTGCACTCAAAGAAGTTCTTAACGGATTCAAAGGAAATCACAAACTCTAAAGAGCAAGTCTAGTACCATACGATGTATTTATTCAGCTTTTAGGTTGGATAAGTACATATTTTGGTACTTTACGATACTATTAAATATAAATAAATAATATAAATATTATTTATTTATTAATTACCTGCTACTTAATCGTGTTGGCGCCATCTCTTCGGGTTCATCGGGCGTCAAGATCTCCGAGAACTGCAAATCCAACGTTGGAGCTGATCGGCGAGTGATCCCGAAACGGCGCAAATCTCCCTAAAAGTTAAAGATTAGAAAACTAAAACTAAAGATTAGAGAACTTTAATCTAAAATCTAAAAAGAAAAGCAGAAAAGCTGGCCTTTTTTTACTCGAAACTAACAAGAGGATGCCACAAAATGACAGATTTTAACGCCGTTGAGATTCAAACGCCTATCGGACAAAGGGAATCCGATGCTGTATTCAGTTTTTGCTCATATTCAGCTTCTGCTTAAGCTTCTTAAGCGTATTCTTAAGCTTCTGCTTTGGCTTGAACCTTTACGGTTAACGGCGGGGGGTAGCGATTAACTTGAACCTTAACGGTTAACAACGGGGGTCAATTTTTTGACCAACTTGCATCCCGCTTTTAGATAGGTTTATGTTAATAAATTTTGATAAAACAAATAGTTTCCAAAAGCTAACGTTCTAAGCTATCTAAATCTTATTAAAATTTCCTGATCTGACAAGTTTAAGGTGCTTAAAAATGAGCTGCGAGTTGGCCCAAAAAATTGACCTCCGCCGTTAACCGTAAAGATCCTTCGGCTTCTTAAGAAGCTCAAAATTCCCTATGGATCCCTATTCCCTATGTCAAACATCTCGCGTTTCGCAAAGCGTTCTGCAAAAATTAAAAACGGATTCAAGATCCCGATTGCCGACTCTATAAGATGGAGGCAGAAGGTCAGCTCTTTCTCTCACTTGTTAGAAGATTTTTGTACTCTTGAAAGTACTTTAACACTGTAAAATAAAAGATTAAAGACAAATTTACCATTTCACTTTCTTCTCCAATCGGTTCTAAATCAGAGAGCCGCTTTCGGGCTTCTAAATTCGCAAAAACTTCGTCGACAATTGATCGCTCTTCATTTGCATTTGAAATGACTAAAGATCTTCGCATAATTATGTTTATTTAGTTTTATAAAATCTACTTATTATAAAATCTAGTTATAAAATCTACTATATTTTTACTTAGTTATAGCTAACAATTTGCAATATTAGCCTTCAATTAATACTGGTTTCAAGAAGTTTTGCTGGCGTTGATTTCAAGCAAATTTGTGTCCTTCAAGGTTCTGGACTTATGCTATATTACATCACAGTAATATAGCATATGTCAGGTATCACAGTATACCCTTAAATTACAGTATACCAAGGTATTACAGTCTATGCTTAAAAGTATACTGTAGTGTACTGTAGTGTACTGTAGTACTTCATTTAATATAAAATATTCAACTCACTTTGCTCATCCCCATCTCGCCAGGACATTTCCCGTTGCAGCTCTTGTAGCATAGAAGAGGTTTCCGTTGGCTCCTAAAGTTTGAAATGACTTTAAAACTACTGTAACTAATGTCTAGGTATCGGTACACGATTTTTAGATAGATATATAGGTAGATAAGTACACTATTTTGTGCCTCAATTGTAGTCGGACTCGTCTCAGGTGTCTGATAGTTTTCCATTGTCGACTCGTTCATCAAACCCGGTGTAATCGAGTAGTCCAACTCTTCAACTTCTTCTAAAGAAAAATTCTTCTTCGACTTCTTCTCCTTCTTTAGATTGGCTATGAAAATCCTAATACTGTCTGATCATTATCATAAAGCTCGTCCAATATCTACCGTAACGGATCTTGGCCAAGTCCGATCAGCTTACTGGCATAGGATTGACTCCTTGCATGATCTAGGCTGGCTTCAAGGTGGCTTGGCTTGGCCAATCTATTGATAATGAGCTTCTACCAAATCTGTAGAAAAAAGGAACCAAATTTGTAGAGAATAAACTAGAGAATACTTTATGATAACGATCAAACAGTATTACTATTTGGGTTGGCTTCAAGCTAGACTTGTGTAGGCCAGCTCAAGATCTGTCTAGGCCAGCTCATGGTTAATCCTATCCCAGATCTCATCAGTCCTAGCCCTATCTCAGATCATGGTAAATGAATATTCAAAAATGGCCTTGCCTAGCTTTGCTTTCAGCCTAGAACAGTTGTTGGGAGCTATGGAAAAGTTAGCAAGTTAGAAAAGTAAAGAGTCAGAAAGTTAAAGATTTTATAAGCTTTCGTTACGGTAGATATTTACAAGGGAATGTTCTCAGCTCAAAGATGAGAATCGATTTGAAACCGGGTGCATCATAGAATGAGAAATGCTAATTCCGAATCTACAAAGCTCCCTTCTGAACCTATATTTTAGCCTACGTTTTACTCGATTAACTACTTTGAAAACTAAAATTTTTATGAAAAATCTTTAGAAGCTGCAAACTACATAAATATTAACATATTAACATTGTAGAAAAACATAAATATGGATCAAAAATGGATCAAAAATCAAATGTATCAAAAAAGGATTTTCCAAGAAAGCAAGGCTAGGGGAGGATTCGAACCAAAGCCAAGAAAGCCAACCAAAGCCAAGAAACTTCATAGGTTTCATAGACAACCACACTATCCGTTAGACCATAAAAGCTATTAGAACAATTCCTTGTAGCTCAGCTTACCTCTACGCGTTTCATCAAACGATCGGTGATCCTCGGACATGGATTTTTCTTCATTCAACCCCTCACTCAACTCGTCATCACTTTGCGGTGAAGTGACGTAATCTTCTGAAAATCCAACAGATCAATCGTTAATTCTTATAGATCTTTAAAAACTTGATAACTAGACTTAGTTCCTATTAGTTTCTAACTTTTAAACGATTTCAAAACCAGCTATTCAACTATTTTCACTCACCCGAACTTGTCACATCTTTTACTTCATCGAAATTTTTCTCCGAACTCTCCATCGATTGATGCTGAAACAAATTAGCATATAAAAGCATGAAAAAGAATAAATTTAGTCTATAGTAATGAACTAGCATCTCTTCTTTAAATAACTTCATCTCTTTTATAGAAACTTGCCCCACCCGATTCTCCTTTTCATCGCCTTCGATGTGATGCTCGATTTCAGGGGATCTCGAAGCTAAAATAAATAAAGAGATAAATGTTTAGATAAAAAAAATATATCTAATAATATACAGTATTTTCTCTAATAGTAGTGCACCCGAGTTGATGAGTATTATATATTTCGCAGAAGCTCAACACTCAATGCCTCACTAGATCTCATCCTAAGCTACATTTTCCGATCCCACATCGATAGGTTCCGATAAGCGCTTTTCGAGATTTCGAGGAATTTAGGCAACGCTCAGAGTGCACTAGTATTAGAGAGAATACGGTAATAATATAATAAATATCTTAAATATCTAAAATATCTAAATATTAAGTTAGCAGCTAAATAACTCACCAAGATCCATCCCAACTTGAGAAGTCTTCCGGATGAAAGTTTGGTGCAATTGATGAGAATCTAAAATGGTTTTGATAGAAAATGTAAAGTAAAAATGTAAAAATGTAAACAAGAAAAAAAATGTTAATATTCTTTTAGTTTCAATTATAGAATTATATAGAATTCTAACAGTTATATGATTTTTGAAAATCGTTTAATTTTCATTTTTTAAATTACGATTTTGGCGTTGAAACCATTCAAATAAGACTTTCGATTTTGAAATCTTTGAAAGCATTTTATCTTTGAAATCTCTTTTTATCTAGTAAAAGTCATTTCACAAAGAATTTTATTCAATTTTTGGTACTTTTTGGTATACATCCACAAAGACTCAACTCGGTTAAGCAAAAAGCTGACAACTGACCACAGAGACTCAACTCAGTTAAGCAAAAAGCTGACAACAAGTGGCGTAGAGTGCTCGCCTGAAGTGATCAGTCGAACGAAAATCGATAACCGAGAAGACTCGGATGGGGATGCTTAACCGAGATGAGTCTTTGTGGATGTATAACCGACAAGTACCCACCAAGACAAGTACGACAAGTATTTTTCAACAAGATCTTTTCAAAAAGTCAAAAAGCCTTAACGAAAGGTTTACCTTAAAAATATCGAAATTACGAAACGAAAAGACTTTCTAAAAAGCCTAATAGTTAGTTTAGAAATTTAGATACGTTTATCCACTTGAAACCAGCTAAAGAAACCTATCTTTATGTCAATAGATAAAAGATAGAGCATAAAAAGCGGTTTATATAGTCAAATTTTCAAAGAACTTGCTTCAGCCAATCTCTTCGTAAAGGTTTTTATCGATTTTTACGAATTGCACGTTTTGACTCTGAATTTACTTGTAAGTAAACCGAAATTGACTTAAAAAGATGGGAAATTGAACAATAAACACTTTTTATTTAGAAGAAACTATAGGTTAATTGGCGAATTTGTTATTTTTCAACGGAAAGATGAAAAGGAACGAAAAGACCTTCTGGAGCTTAATCTTATCAAGATCAAAATCAAACTTATCAAGATCAGATCAGAAACTTGTCTAGTTAGTAACCATTTAACCTTACCCAATACCTTTTTACCCACCAATCCTTTTTCTAAAAAGAAAAAGGATTGGTTCTTTTTCTAAAACAAAAAAGGATTGGCTCTTTTTCTAATTAGACACCGAACCCAAGAAGAAAAGCCCCAATAAGATCGCGCAGATTTGATTTGATAGATTTCGTGTTTTAGTTGAAAGAGAATTGGTTAAGCTAAGTTTATGCAGCACGTAAAAAAAGATTCGAAGACAATGGAGTAGAAGGGAGCCGAGAGAAACGGAACAAAACCATTTTAGAAATTTAAACAAGAAACATGGCCGGAAGATTATAACGAACAATGCAACAAATATGACGGGAAGGGAATGTGGGGAGCGGGTAACCAAAAAACGCGCTACAAAGCTTTTACAGCTTAGAGGATAGCTTTTACAGAATGGGGAAGAAAACGTATGCGGCATGAAGAAAACGGCATAAAAAACCGAACAACATTCACGACTCCCCCATGGATTCGGAAAATGAAAAGAATGGCAAAAGGAAATTTTTGTGTGGGGTACGGTAGCGCATCCAGGCTCTAGAAAACGCCCGCTCCGCTCAGTTCTTTAAACGTTCACTAAACTACCACTTTCTCATTCTAATGTAGAGATTTTTACAGTTTTTACGAAAAAGCACGTTTAGACTCTGAATTTACTTGTAAGTAAACCGAAATTGACTTAAAAAGATTGGAAATTGAACAATAAACACTTTTTATTTAGAAGAAACTATAGGTTAAGATCTATAAGATAAATATTACAGTGTTTTCTTCTCATTGGCATTTTGCGGTCCGCGGTCGGCAATGGTCGGCGATGGTTGTTCAATTTCCAATCTTTTTAAGTCAATTTCGGTTTACTTACAAGTAAATGGTCGGCACTATTGCCGGATATTGTAAAGACACGCTATTGCCTTTTATGCCGGATATTGTAAAGACAAGACTCGCCGCAGCACTCATTTTTAATCTCGTCAACCATCCGACAAGAATTAATGATCTTTTTAAATCTTAGAAGACATTTAGAAATCTTAGAAGACATTTAGAAGACATTAATCTTGTTTTGCAGAAAAATAATTGGCTTTTCTAATGAAATATTTGGTTCAATTGGTGAATTTGTTGATTTTAAGAGAAGGAAGAGAGAAAGAAGAGAGAGAAAGAATAGTCTAAAGCTTTATTCAGTTAGTGTACAGTAACTTTTAGCATCTTTAGCTTCTTTTAGCAATTTAGAAAACGTTTAAAAAGGAACACAAGCGTACATCTTGTACCTAAATAACAAAAAGCTTTGCTCATCGTTTTCTCCTTTCTTTTTTTTCTGTTCTTACCCGTTTCCCTTACAATTGTTAGCTACAAAAAGGATTTTTAAAAAAAGGCGGTATTTCCTTGTCATTTCTCCCCATTGATCACTTAAAGAAAAAGAAAAAGAAAAAGAAATGAGGAAATTGGTTTAAAATTGGTTTAAAATTGCTTTAAAGTTAAAGTTAAAGTAAAACTAGACTCACAAATGAATGAAAACTGTTCTGGAACGCATAAAAGAACAGTGAGAGGTGTGAAAAACGAAAGAAAAAACAGAAAACGAAAGAAAAGTAAAAGAAAAGTGCAAAAAACAGCAATCTTTCCTTGTTAATCGATCTAGATCTAGATCGATATTGATAAAGAAGCTTTAAATGTACAATCTGGAGTTATTTAGATGAGGAGAGATAAATGAAGAGCTTTTTTTTAGGCTTTTTTAAGGTATCTTTTGAGATTATTAATATAAAAAGTTGAGTTTTTACTTGAAATCGCAAAAATTTGACTTTAAAAGTGTTCATTCATGGAAAAGAACAAGCAAATGATAAAGAAAACGGAATTTGATCCAAATCGAAGCGGTCAAAAGGGGAAAAAATGGGGGGAAAGTAAGGGGAGATTCGGAGGAAGCAACAAACAATGCAAAAGATTGATGAAATTTTGTGTTTTTTAACTTTTAGACGAATCTAAATTCGATTAGATTTACTTTATGCTAAAAATTTGAGCTTAAAAATGCTAAAAAATTGAGATAAAATGTTAAAAAGTTGGGATTAAATGCTAAAAAGCTACGGTTTCTATTTTTGATCCAATACGGCTCCAATACGGTTCCTATTTGGTTCCTATTTTGATCCAATACGGTTCCAATACGGTTCTGATTTTGATCCAATACGGTTCCTATTTAGTTCCTATTTGGTTCCTATTCGGTTCCCATTCGGGATCAAGGATCAAGATCAACTTGTGCACCGTCTGGACTAGAACCTAAAAATTTGAGCTTAAAAATGCGAAAAAGTTAGGATTAAATGTTAAAAAGCTAGGATAAAATGCTAAAAGCTACGGTTCCTATTTTTGATCCAATACGGCTCCAATACGGTTCCTATTTAGTTCCTATTTAGGTCCTATTTGGTTCCTATTCGGTTCCCATTGGGTTCCCATTCGGGATCAAGATCAACTTGTACACCGTCTGGACTAGAACCTAAAAATTTGAGCTTAAAAATGCTAAAAGCTAAGATAAAATGCTAAGAAGCTAAGATAAAATGCTAAAAAGCTACGGTTCCAATACAGTTCTTATTTTGATCTAATATAGTTCTTATTTTGATCCAATACGGTTTCAATACGGCTCCAATACGCTAAATTAACAGATTTTGCAATTGAAATGATTGAAATGATTGAAAATTGAAATTAAAACGATTGAAATGATTAAAAATCAAAATAATAAACAAGACTTTGAAGCAATAATGCATAAAAACCCTTCTAGAATCTAGGAAATCGTTTTTGATTCATAATGAAATTGTTATGATTGTTAGGATTTCAAAATAAGCAAATAAACTTGTAAAAATCAGGTCATAGGTCGAAGGGAGAGTGAAAGAGAGAGAGAGAGAGGGAAATGGGACGGATTGTTACACACAGATGATCTCCATTGTCCACACGTAAAAAGGAGAAAGGAGGGGGGAAAGCTAAACTATTATGAGGGGATATAAATAACCGATGACTGAGGGTAGACCCTGGAAAGCCGGAGAGAGCCGGAGAGAGCCAGGGAAAGCTAGGGAAAGCCAGGGAAAGCTAGGGAAAGCTAGAGAAAGCTAGAGAAAGCTAGGGTGAGCGATGTGTCACCAGATGTTCTCCCGTTCCCCCTCCCTCCCAACCAAACAACCCTAAAAATCTCTTTTTGCTGATGTTCAACATCATAAGCTCAATTTCATCAAAACATTTAGCATTTAACCTATCGTAAATACTCTAATAGAACGCCACTTTCTCGTACAGTCGCCTAGTGTAGTTGGATTTAGAAAATCATTTTTTTCTCAGCTTCTAGATTTGATCCAACTGCACTTTTGGTATCAAAAGATAGCTGAATTCAAGGGCTATCATTTGACACCCAAGCGAAAACTGTAGCTTAAGGAAGTGAGGAGAATTTGTCAATTTGACTACAAAGGTCTTGATTAGATCCAACTTTTTCCCAGGCCCATGGCCAACTGGCTTGTTGCCATGGCCAACTGGCTAAGAGTCCAGTATCTTGGACGGGAGGTCGAGGGTTCAATCCCGACGGACGTCTTTTCATTGATTGATTTTGGTTTTCATTAATTTTTTTTATTGATATTGATATTGATTGATATTTATTGATATTTATTGCTATTTTATTGCTATTTTATTGATTTCTTTTCTAGCTATATATGGGTTTTTGTTCCTACATTTGGCTTTTGCTTAAGACTTTTGTTTAAAGCTTTTGCTTAAGACTTTTGCTTAAGTCTTTTGTTTAAGGCTTTGGCTTAAGGCTTTTGTTTAAGGCTTTTGCTTAAGGCTTTTGCTTAAGGTTTGTTAAAGCTTTTGCTTAAGGCTTTTGTTTAAGGCTTTTGCTTAAGGCTTTTGCTTAAGACTTTTGCTTAAGGCTTTTGTTTAAGTCTTTTGCTTAAGGCTTTTGTTTAAGGCTTTGGCTTAAGGCTTTTGCTTAAGGCTTTTGCTTGTATGTTGTACTTTTTAAGCCCCACCACTTTGTTGCTCAATGCCAGTGTGATGTGTGGATTGGGGTAAAGGGGCGACCATTTCAACAGCGCTCATCCCCGTTCTCCATTCCACGATTCGTAAGCCTGAAATCTCATTATCTAAACGGTGAAAATGATCTAAATCATCTAGATAAATGGGTTAATAATCGGAAAAATCTCGATTTTATTCCCGGTTTTTTTAAAGCCAATTTTGTGGTTGGCTATGTCGTAAATAATGAATAAAAGATAAGAAAAAAAAGAAAAAAACAATAAAACTTGAACAAATCGATCTAAGAATATGAAAAGAAATTGCTGTTTAGCTATCTTTTAATGAGCTAGAAAAGAAGTGTTTGCAATTATTGAATACCGTACAGTACAGTACAGTACAGTACAGTACAATACAGTGCAGTACAGTACAGTACAGTACAGTACAGTACAGTACAGTACAGTACAAAGTACGCTTTAAAGAGTAATCCTACAGGATAAAGCATAAAAAATGCAAATCGAATGCAAATTATTGAGAAAAATCATGAACTGTGAATCATTTTGCGAGGGAATTATGGAATTATGGAATTCTCGGCGATGAATCACAGATTTTCGCTGACAATTGTCATGATTAGGAGAAAAATACAGTTAGCTTTTGGATATTCTAGTTGAAAAGAAGATTTGCAAAAGCAGATATATAAAAGAAGATCTTTAAAAGAAGATATTCAAAAGAAGATGTTTCAAAGGAGATCTTTAAAAGCAGATCTTTAAAAGAAGATCTTTAAAAGAAGATCTTTAAAAGAAGATCTTTAAATGCAGATATTCAAAAGAAGATGTATCAAAGGAGATCTTTAAAAGCAGGTCTTTAAAAGCAGACCTTTAAAAGAAGATTTGCAAAAGCAGCTATTTAAAAGAAGGTCTTTAAAAGCAGATATATAAAAGAAGATTTGCAAAAGAAGATATTCAAAAGAAGATCTTTAAAAGCAGATATTCAAAAGAAGATCTTTAAAAGCAGATCCTTAAGAGCAGCTATTTAAAAGAAGATCTTTAAAAGAAGAGCTCTAAAAGCAGATATTCAAAAGCAGATATATAAAAGAAGATATTTAAAAGCCGATATTCAAACGATATTCAAATTATCAAAAAGAATATCTCGATTTAAAATAACTAAAAAGTACAATAAGGATTTTATATTTTTGAGGAAATCCTTGAGGACTTTGCTCAATCTAATGAGAAAACATTACGGATTTGCGAAAATTGGAAAAAAGAAAGAAAGTGAAGGACAAGGTCAAAATTTGGACGTCGAAAAACAAGGGAACACGGAATAAAAGAGAAAAGAGAAAGAGAAAGAGAAAGAGAAAGAGACAAAAAAGGAAAAGTATGGGAAAATTGAAACGAGAATCGGAAGAAGAGGCTGGAAGTAATGTTCTGTGTTCTAAAAGAACCAAAAGGTGTTCTAAAAGATCTTCCAATAGATCTTCAAACAGATCTTCCGAAAGATCTTCCAAAAGCAAGGTAGTTAAGCTGCTTAGTCTGGCTTGGTCTTGCCTCAATATCAGCTCGGGTTCTAGAGCTAGAGTTCTAGAGCTAGAGTTCTAGAGCTAGAGTTCTAGAGCTAGAGTTCTAGAGCTAGAGTTCTAGAGCTAGAGTTCTAGAGCTAGAGTTCTAGAGCTAGAGTTCTAGAGCTAGAGTTCTAGAGACTTGAGCTAGTCCAAGATTGAATTCCATCGAGCTAAAGATTCTTGTAAGCCTGGCTTAACTGGAACTTGTTTGACTGGCTAGCTTTGCTGCTAGAATTATCGTATTCTAGACTCTAATTTATTCTAATACTTTTATTCTCTAATAGTTCTATATTACTGTATTTTTTGACTACATTTTTCTAAAATGTGCTTTTATTTTTCAATCATTTCACAAAATTTCTTCTATTAGAGGCTGTGCTTCTATTTTTCATTGACAGTCATTTACATGAGGCAAGACCAAGCCAGACTAAGCAGCTTAACTACTAAGTCTTTTAGTCACTAAAAGACTAAAAGACTTAGTAGTTTGTAGAAAGAAAGAAAGAAAGAAAGAAAGGTTGACTTGCTGCCTGGCTTGACAGGATTTTGTCTAGGTTGTTCTAAAACAATTTCCGAATCAAGATAGGCCAGGGCAGGACTAGGATTGAGCCTGTTCTGACTTGAATTTGGCTTAAACTTGGCTAAACCAGGAGATTTTGGTCTAGAAGCAGTCTAGTTCTAGAATTTTCGGTCTAGAAGCAGTCTAGTTCTAGAATTTTGGTCTAGAATCAGTCTAGTTCTAGAATTTTGGTCTAGAATCAGTCTAGTTCTAGAATTTTGGTCTAGAATCAGTCTAGTTCTAGAATTTTAGTCTAGAAACAATCTAGTTCTAGAAGTTCTAGGTCTATCTAGCTTTCTGGTTTGTTCCTGGCCTAAAATACTGCTACTCAAGCCAGGAAATGCTTCAGAGCAGGACCAGGACCAGGCTTGAATCCACTTTTGGCTTAGGCTTAGGCTTACCTGGAACCTGGAAGCTCAAAAAGCACAAAACTTCTATGAACTTCTATCGATCAAGAGTCAAGTTCTTCATTTTTCTTTATGCAAATCGGCATTACACCACAAAAAAAAGCTCAAATGGGTGGACACGGTTGAGAAAATTCGAGCAAACAAATAGCAAATAGATGTAAAGAAATCGGCAGATATAAAAAGGCGTTCGAAGGTCGAAAAAACGATGGGTGAATATTTCTCGAAACATTTCCCCTTCTCGTCGCTTGAAATTCGAGAAGGTGAATCATTTTATCAGCACAAACGAGACGAAAGGAGGATTTTTGAAAGGAAATGCGTTTGGGTGTGGATGGGATGTTGATGGGTGCAGTGTGTAGTCGATGAGTGACGAGAGATTCCTTTACAGCCACTCCTAGAGTAAATACTGATCCCATCGAAAGGTGCTGACAAGGGAATGAACCCAAACTGAAGTTCGGAATAGCTTCGCGAGATGGTGGAAGTTATAGAATCGATTCAGAAAATAGAATCGATTACGGAGATTACAAACCGTAAAAAACTTCTTGCCAAAGGCTCTGCAAACGCGAGATACCGGATTTTCTTTAATACTACTATTAGCACTACTATTAGTGCCCGGCGAGCCGAGTTTATGTCTATTTTACGGTTTCCAAAGCTTTTCCAGAAGCTCAACACTCTAATAGATCACTAGATCTCATCCTAAGCTACATTTTCCGACCCCACATCGATAGGTTCTGATAAGCGGCTCTCGAGATTTCTCGAGTTCCGATAATTCGAGCCCAGGGCTCTAATATTAGAGGATTTGCTTTGAAAGTTTTTGGGGTCCACTTTTAAGCGCTCTTGGAGCGGTAAGAAAGTGGTTTCAGTGGCGCAGTCGGTTAGAGGCTGGCCTTTAAATAAATATTATTACTTTGAGCTGAATATCTTTCACTTATGAATCACACTATATAAAGAAGGCGTTAACGTTTCTTTTTCACTTTGTTTTTCTCAATGCTTCTTACTATTAGTTTTTTTTTCTTTATGCTTTTTTCTTTTACTTTTTCTTTTCAATTAAATAAGTTTCATTTTTGATGAAAGCAGTTGTCCAAAGCTGTCTAAAGCGATCCAAAAAAACAGCTGCAATTTAAACGGTGATTATTTTATTATAAATAGGGGAACGATCAGCTTTCGCAAACGTGAATCCGAAACAAAATTATATGACTATACAAAACTATACAAAACTATATGATACGGGCAACACGATGGCATTTCTAGTTTTTACCTAAACGCTCTAGATTTTTTCTCGACACTGGTTTATGCTACAATGCGCGCTTAGGTATCAAAAAATAGCCCTGAGTCTCAGCTATTTTTTGATACCTAAGCCAGTATTGTAGCATAAATCAGCTTCGAGAAACACTCGCTCAAAGCTAGACTACGCAACGCTCCGCTTTGAACGAGTTTTTCTCGAAACTGGTTTATGCTACAGGTATCATTTAGGTATTAAAAAATAGCCCTGAGATCTCAGGGCTATTTTTTGATACCTAAATGCGCATTGTAGCATAAACCAGTGTCGAGAAACACTCGTTCAAAGCTAGACTACGCAACGCTTCGCATGATCATTATGGAGCTGGGGCACTATTACAGTATCTACGGTATGTGGAAAGTGCCAGAAATAAAACTTGTTTGTTCTCGCAGCGGCACTACTTTGGCACTACATCACTTTGAGCCTGAGCCTGTATTTAAAGAAATTTACATAACAATGGTAACCTTTTTGAAGCGCGTGCTTTAGAAGCTTTAGCTTTAGAAGCATTAGTTCACGAGGAACACACTCTAAGCTGTCTTAGCCAGTGAACAATCTCCGAGCTGGCCTTGGGTTGGCCTTAGCTAGCTATTTGATCCAATCTAGGCTCACCCAATCTAGGCTGACTCAATCTAAGCTCACCCAATCCAAGCTGAGCTAATAGTGGACCAATCTAATTGTAAGCTATGATGCCAATCTAAGCTATGATGCCTAAGCCTAAGCTACAGCTCGATCTAGGCTACTTGGCAGCCTAGACAATGACTCGATGACAATGATAACCAACGACAATGACAATGACTCGATTTGGACTGAGCTGACCTAGCTCTTTGTTCAAATCCTGGCTAGCTTGTCCCCTACTTGATCCAGATCAATCACAAAAAGTACTGAGAAATGAAAATTGATTAAATCAATCAAATCAAAGCTAATCAAATCAAAGCTGATCTCAAAAATAGAATCAAATCATCTAATGTTGCGATACGATTTTAAGAGCCGCAGAAAACATTTCACAAATCGAACAGCTGATTTTGAAAGTGTTTTCGATAATGTTTTCAATAGGAAAAAAGCGAAAAAGGCTTCATAATTGTCAACAAAAACGGCTATATCGAAAAAATCAAAAAAATAACACTCATTATTTCTAAATCATCGAAAAAAATGGGGAAAAGTTCGTCAAATGATTGTCAAATGATTGTTGAAGGGTGTGCTTTGTGAAAAAGTGGAAACAAACCTTTCTAGCGCACTGAATTCTCTTTTTTGCACCAAATATTACTAAGAAATGCAGAATTGAGTGCCCTAGATCTTTCTAGGGCACTCAATGCTCGTTTACGCTT